GGCCGCCAAGAACCTAGACACAGTGTTATGCGCAGAAAAGCTTGCCCGGTGCAAAACCCAGGGAATCACCCTAATAAAATCCGAAACCTGGATTTCAAAATACCAGATTTTGCAATGAAAAGCAAAGATTACTCTGAACGCACTTTCTTATTCCTGATTGGCCGTGACTTCCTCTCGACTCAGTTTCCCAGCAACCACATTCAAAATGGCGCACGGCCTGGGATTGAGTACTGAAAGTAATTGATGTCGCACTTTATAGTCAGGACGGTTCGTTTCGACAGCTGTGTTACATTTGACAACCTTTTCTGTAAGAAGAGTATTCTCTTCTTCACTTTGTACATCGAATGTGAGAAGTAACTTGAAACCCTCTTGGATGAAAATTCGAATTTATACTTCGACAGGTGAGAGGTCTCTGAACAAGACTTTTAACTTAATTATTCGATGTCTATGAAATGTATCTTATTAGGACCACTGCGTGCTTATCCTTTAACAAATGCTGAAAGAACTGATCACCAAGCAATGGATTGGTGGACAAAACAATGACCTCCAGTCCATTTACCTAACCTCGTTGGACTACTCAAACATAGACCAACCTTTTGATTTTTTCGTTTTGTTTATGGTTAGTCACAACAAACACCACGAAATTTAGGCGATTATTTTAAACATTCAAAATTCATCAATATCGGTCATAAAGTGAGGTGAGAAATCGACAAAATTAGTTAACGTGGTTCCTCCTTATAGATACATTTATTATTCAATTGTGCTAGAGTACAAATAACGCGCGAGACGAGTACAGATACCACGCGATATTTGTACTCCTGAAATATCCGCGAAATTCGCCCACACTGAAGTAACAATTTGGCGTGTTGGATAAAAATCTCTTATTAGACGTTTTTTTGTGTTGTATCACTGAGTATTTTTAGTCGTTGTTTGTATTTCGACTCGCCCAATGGGCTCATCAAAACATAGCACAACTCGTAAAAATACTCAGCAATACTACACAAAAAAAGGTCGGATGAGATATATTTATAATGCAATTGTGCTTTGTAGAGTACAAATAATGTGCAGAGATGAGTACAAATATCATGCGATAGTTGTACTTCAGAAATATCTGTGAATTAAATTCGTTCGCACTGAAATAAGAATTGGGTGTGTTGGCTAATAGATCTCTTATTAGACGCGTTTTGTTGTGTAGTATTGCTGAGAATAAATTTTTACTCATTGTTTGTATTTTGACTTGCCCTACAGGCTTGTCAAAATACAGTGCAAGTTATCAAAATACTCAGTGATATATACCACACAACAAAACAATATATGTATTGATGTACAGTGTGTACTAGAAGCAAAATGTATCAAGAGATTCAGTAACTTAAATCCTTGAATGCAATCCTTGAATCCATGAATGCAGTTTCTCAAAATAATGTAAAACATATTTTGATGAGTGCTGCTACAGCTTGTATCAAAGTGTTTCTGTTCTGGTTAATTTAAGCCCCCTCAGATATATACACTGTGTTTGTAAGGCCCTTTATTTATAAGCCCTCCTAAAACCCCTTACAAAGTTGTAAGTGCCCAGACTATTAATTAAACCTGAGTGAGTAGTTTTATACTGTTAGACTACACTGAGTATTGATGGTATTGTTTTCAGCATAGTTCTTGTAAACAGACATACTTGTCACATTTTGGGGTCCAAAGTCACTATAACGTGAATAAACTGATCTGCAATATAAGTACATCAGCATCAATGTTACCCAAGGYAAAAATAAACAYTCACTAATAAAACAACATAGAAGAATGAATTAGGGATCAAAATGGTGACAGATATGCTGTACAGTTGTACAGAGGCTCAGACAGACAGCTCTGTTGTCTCATCTTAATTTCTTTGTCCACAATTGTAGATTGCTTTAGCATAGTTGACACCATATCTAATAGTGCTTTGTCTCCTGTACCATTTACAATACATGTTTAACTTAGTTTTACGGGTTGACTTTCTGATGGAAACTTATCACTGTTTAATGTTTCTCACTGTTACAATTCTCATGTGTTGGTGTCATGGCAACCACATATTTATTATAGAACACAAAGTTTTTTAGTAATTTGAATCATATTGGATTAAGCTTTCAGTAGTAATGCTGGGCATCTCTATGATAACCCTTATTGAAAATCTTTCCTTTTTAGCATTTGAGGGCAAATGAGTTAATTGTTCTTAGTTTTTTTACTGAACCTGGCTTCTTAGCTCAGTTCTCTCTCTTGGTACTACAATGTCCAGTCCATTTGCAAGGGCCATTTCTTTGCTGAATTTTCATCTGCAGCTCAAATTGAATTATTTATTGAAAATTTTGATTTAGATT